AAAAAAATTAAATATGTTTAAAACACGATTTATTACTAATACAATAACATTTTTATATTGTAAGTTTTCTTGAATAATTAATCGCACACGTAGAGGTCATAACATAAGTCTTGAAATATATGACATTATGGACTTCATAGATGTTGATCGTCATGATGAAGGGCCAGGCTTGTCACTTGTTGCTGACAGTGTTGACAGCACCAGAGTCTATGACGATTGATATTGCTCATAAATTATGTGCTAATTTATTCTAATGGCCAATATCGTATTAAACAGTTTTCTGTGTCTCTCCATTGGAATGGTAGAATTACCCAAATGGTCCATTGCTTTAATGAGAGTCATATATTGATATACAATTTGTATTATTTTCTAATTAATTTTCAATTTTAAATGATACATTTGCAATATGAAAGTAGTAAAATTCTAATACGATTATTTATTAAGTTAAACTTAAATTCTTTTCTTCTTATGCTCGTATTTCAGTCACCACCACGTCGAATTAATAACTAGTCAAATATATCATATGATTATTCTAATAGCGATAAGTAAACCAGATCTATCTGACCTCTTACTAGTTCGGTCATTGAGGTCAGGACCTTTATCTGACCTTAAACTGTTGACAAACTTTGTGACATATCTAGAAATCCGATGACATCTTCTGTAAATATGTTTGCTTAGCATTGTGAGAAATAATCATTTCAAGCTTCAGCAATATTGTGTTTTTAGAAGAATTTGAGGTTGTCCATGGGTAGTAATTCAAACCGTGAGTACAATATTGCCACTTTTATTTCATAGCCACTATGCTATTTGGGTACTGTAACTATATTCATTATTTATTCATTGTTCAGATCTGCCATCACTTACCACATTTTATAAAAAAGCAAATAACGACGACCTTTTCATGTAGTTCATGTTGTTCAAATAATATAAATTAATTCCGTTGACCCCTGTTAAAAGCTACAAGATCAACTAATCAATGTCAATATTTGCTTTTCGAAAGGTCCAAAAGTTTGTTTATGTATTGGGGATTGAAAGTTATATATCAGATTCAATTACAACCGCTGTGTAGACATACCGCTAATATACCAACTAGAAGTGTATGAACAATCCAATGATTTCAAACTCTCTTCTCAATTGATAGTATGCGATTGGTTGGACGCTGTCACGTGTTTGTGTGCTGTATCACGTCCCCTGCGATTGACCATGCTAACTGGTTGGAGTGGTAAATGATCCGGGGTCATAAGGTTGCTAAACGTCTGTGATAGATTAGTGAAAAGTGGTACTTGATAGTCAATCGTGATGTAATGCCATGTTTGACAACTATAAATTAACATTGGGTCTTGTCCCGAACCGTCCGTAGTATGGCTAACAGTACGACCACCCAATTGCAACCGTCCATATATTGATTCTAAGACTTCTATGAACCTAATTTAGAAGATACCATTATTTTTGTGGTAATCTTTTATTTAATGATTATGATGATATAATTTTAAAGTATTTTTATGCTAATAATTGATGTACGCTTTTTTGTGTCAACTGCAAAATGTTGCAATTTTCATTTTTAAGGTGTTGGTATACAACGCTTTTATTTTTTCTAAGTCACTCAATGTGTTGATCGTAGACGTAGAACTTGTAAGGAAATCCCCAATTAGCTATCAATACAAATGTTATTGTTAGGATATAGGCCTGTTGATTTGCCTCATTGGGTAAATGATCTTATACATTATAGTTGCTGCAATTCAGTACTTAGAAGAATGTTTCGTTTGAATAGCTGGAATCAAAGACTCAAGTGTTAGATTCTCTTTACATAAAACGTAGGTTAGCTGAATGTCAGATTGTACTAATATCTGGAATGAAACACATTGCGTACACTCTCCCACCATATTTTACCATAAGAAATTAATGTCAAGAAAAACTTAATTTAGTCCATGGAAAATTAATTTATTGAGTTAAAGGGTCATAATAGGAGTCAGGGGAGCAAGTCTTTAATTAGGTAATCTTTCTCACTTTTGCTTTGGTGTCTTTCCCTATTTTCATCCGATGCAGAGCAATGGAGAAGTGCAGAGCATTTTCTTCCCAAGTTATAATTGCTGTGACATGGTTGGTTGATTCCCGGGTATAGTTTAAGGAACATTATTGAACAGAAGCACTAGACATTATAACATCAGCTGTACAGTCAATGAACTTTATTGCAATGAATTCCATCTACCTATTGTTTTAATTTTGTGTCGCTATCAAAAAGTATTATAGTATATACGAATTGATTTCCATTTGCATGTTGATTAGTTATCCTACAGGGTTCGAGACTTTATATTCAGTTATCCGTCAACATCGTCCAATGACTATCGTAGGAGTGGCTACTGTTTTCGTTCATGCAACATATGTGTCACTGCCCTGTTTACCTTCAGTCTGTAGTTGTGACTCGCCTAGGGTGATGTTCTTTGGTTGATCCCTTCAAGGGTGGCAGTCTTTGGTTGATACATTTTTGTCATGATACCTGCTGCACGATACCTTCTGCAGTGACGGTCTATGGTTGGTACGTCTTGTGGTAAAGGTCTGATACAGATACATGATAGTCTATAATTGATACTTCTATGGTGACGGTCTAAGGTTGATACTTCTATGGTGACGTTCTATGGTTCATATCTTGCATGGTGGCGGTTTATTGTTGATAACATCTGTATTTGGGTATGTGATTGACATTGATTTTACAGTTAATATATTTCAGTAGTGACATGTTATGTAAATTGAGCCTGCATTATTTTTACGGGATTTTGATTACGTTTCCCCTTTTGTAAGAGCATATATTATGGAGAAATTGTTCGTTCTTTGTTTTCCTAATTGTTCCATTTTTAGAATCGTATTTACATTTATTTACAGTATAGTTATGAATCATTGCTACGTAGGTTCTTTAATATAAGGGTAGAGTACATATGTCAAATACTTAATGAAAAGTGAACGCTGGGTTGAACTAAGTGGTTTATGCGCCAGATCTTTGGCCTTTCTGACACAGTAGGGCAAAGTTGGCACACGAGTTACTACAGCGAATTGTGTTCTTTTTCTAAATCTACTATAGGGTCTCGCGGGTCAGACTTTATATGGTTATCCGACTCTCCATACATACAACACGAAACATTTGACCCTTATCACTCCAGATGTAAATAAATAATGTTAGTTTTTACAATTTAAGCTGAAAGTCAACAGCATAAAAACACACAGCGCCGAAGAGGGTCTGAATTTCATTCAGATTTTATAAAAAGCACACAGGTCAACATTAGACTGTGTGGACAAACACTGAGAAAGATTAACATTATGAGGTTCATGGAATGTGCATTGAATTAATTTGACAGCTAGAACGATATAGATTATAATTTTGAAACATACATAGAAAGTGATCCATCATGCAAATTTGACTTTTCTGGCGATGCTAAAGTAATCCCATACAAAGTTTAGAAAAACTTGGATTAATAAAGAAAAAATACAGCATGAAATCATGCTTTGAGAACAATAGAGGGGAGTAGTATCAAATAATGTGCAGCATTCAATAATTTAATCTCGGATATCTCATTTTCCAATAGATAAAAATTATATCAAAGTCACTGAATATGAAATTAGTTGTAAAACTTGACTCCCAACAAAACTTTTTTATATTCATTATTGGTATGTTTCCCATTGCTGGTTTACAACCAATGCGGTGAATCGACCACATGGTGTGCTGTATGGTTTACAGTATTACCGCGTATATAAACAGTAATGATCACCTATTATATAATGTCGTGTGCCATAACAGCCACAAATTGTTCATTACAGCACGTTATTCATCGCTTTATAACATGGGGTAACCTCTTGTTGAGTCCAGGGAGAGCTTATATAATTGACCATACAAGGGTCATGAGGCATGGGACGATGTGGTGAAAGGGTCCCATGATTCTAACTTGGTTCATTTATCACTCTTTTGAATTTCTTCAACGTGAACTAATTATTTCTTAATGTTTAATTAAAGAGCATCGTTTTAAGTAGGGGAAGGAGGGGAATGTCCATTCTTTTGTATTATATGCCCATTATTACTTCTCAATTGAAGCAGAAATTAAATTCTGTAAACAGGCAACCAGAAATTTTCTCACAGAAAAAATAACAATTGGATGTAACTTTGGGAATTTTGGTTTGGTAGTGGGCTACTCATCCCCTGTTATATGTCAAGTTAGGGTCAAGATGCTTATGTACGTTATCACGGTAGCAGTGACCATTTGACAGTGATCTGTTTACACTCTCACTTACCAGTCAGGTTGTAATGTAGTTATAAAGACACACTCGAAAAGAAACATCAGAAGTGTAAAATGAACAGTTTTTTTCTGTCTTCACAGTGATCACTTTGAGTGAGGATAGCGCTGCCTATTGGCTTCTACAAGCACATGTCCGCAAGTAGATATACGGCGTAGTAATATTGACAAGAAGGCTGGTTATAAATGTTAGCTTCAGCCAATGAGAAGCGAGAGTGAGAGCTAACTGGCTTGGCCCGTGTGTAGACGTACAGGGCTACTAGTTTCAAGCTGTCACTCCGTAATGACTGGTTACAACCTTGCTGACTTGTCCTCCCAAATATGGAAGAGGTAACCATGGTAACGTGACAGTTCCAACTTTACAGTCGAAGTTCAAAACACATAGAGTGCTCCTCGGTAGGCACACTTCAGATTGGGCTGCATAGTGAATTACTCCGCACACAATTTGCAGTGCAGTGACTCGTTTGTAAGTTTTAGCGAAGTTGTATAAAACAACCCATGTGAGGTACACGAGGCCATAACGTCAGGGTATCGCGGTTACTACGGATTACGCTGCATCATTAACACAGTGGGTGCTGATAAACTGTGGTTGAGAACAGGCTAGACTTACCCTTGCACATGACACTGAGCGATTGAAGTGGATACACGTTTTCCAAAAAACGAACTGAAAGAACTTGGAAATATTTCGGCAAGCGAGATTCGCTAGCATTAAGGTTCTTCATGATGGCGATGACAGCAAGCCCCCCTATTCAACCGCTGCCTATACCAGTGCCACAGACGATTGTGCCATCATGGCCCCAGCCTGAGATAGACGTGATCACACCGGCCGTGAGCCAGCCGCCAGTTGTGACCACAATCAACCACCAAGTTGTACAACACCAGCCTCCAAGTCAGACGACACCTACACCTACAAGTCCAACAGAAACACCCGTTAACAACAACACGCCCGTCAACAACAATAACAACAATCCAGGCACACCGACAGAAAATAAACAAAATCAAAATATAGAATGCGTTGTATGTGGTGACAAAAGCTCTGGCAAGCACTATGGTCAATTTACATGTGAAGGATGTAAGAGTTTCTTCAAGCGTTCCGTTCGACGGAACCTGACATATACATGTAGGGGTAACAGAAACTGTCCCATCGACCAACATCATCGCAATCAATGTCAATACTGCAGGCTAAAGAAATGTCTCAAAGCAGGGATGAGACGCGAAGGTAACATTTCATTCTTCATATTTTAATAATATACCTTATCAGAGCTCATTGTTAGCATTATATTTTGAAGGGGTTTAAAAATCAAACCGCCATTTTAAATATATTTTTTGTTCATATTTAGTCATAATTTCACTCATTGCAGTTTACTCCAGGTCATCATTTCTTAACGCATTCTGTTATAACATCTAACATAAGATATCTTAATAATACTTTCACGTATTTTAAACTTTACTACTGTTCCATACTTAGAAATACTGACTCATGAATACTGATAAAACACAACCTTTGTATCCCCTATAAGCCAGTCTCATTGACCTGGCGCTTTTTAGATACCACTTGTATGCATTCATATGTACGTTATGTCTGTGTTTTTTTTATGAGTGGGTTATATTTGCAATAGTTGAACAGCTATTCAAGTTGATAGGCCGTGTGAAATATATGTATACATTGCGAATAAAGAGGGTCGGGTTAGCCCAGACGATAAAATCATGTCAAGCAACTAACAAAGAAGCAGGCAACAAAATTAAAGTTTATTATCAGAAAAGTGCAGCCTAATTTGCTTTAAATTGATATAAAACTAAAGTTAACACACCATTTGAAAATCATTAACTCAGAATTTTGTAAGAAATATTTTGGGACATAAGCAGACTTGAAACTATTCTGTTAGACAAAAACTATATTTTATATTTGTTAGTCCTACACGTCGCATTATATCTATCAAAAGAAAACACATTTTGAAGAATTATCTATTTTCACTCCATTTGTTGTTCTAAGCTTGTTTAAAGTAGCATAAATGTATGCTTTATGTATTAATTTCTCGAGATTTTATTGACTCAGTCACCCTATGAATCATTAACTCAAGAACCATGATTAGTGCAAATCATAAAATTGATAGTTTCAGCTTAGAATATGGAAATATCTTGATTAAACCCAGCAGCAATGTATTTTGTAGCAAGGCTCATAGTAATGACCATTCCAGATATTTAACATCTTGTACTACAGACTCTGGCGCAAAAAAATTAAACTTACTTTAAATGCTGTGACACTTCAGATCATAATACTATCTTTTCGATAGAGTTCAAAGGAAGTTATAAATGTGACATTCTATATTTTTGATGAACATGTAAGAATGATTTAAAGTAAGTGATATTGTTAATAAAAATGTCCCTTTGTTTTAGCGGTCCAGAGAGGACGAATTCCACCACAGCACCCGGGGCTACCTGGGTTAATCAATGGGGACCCTCTCAATGGCCATACCTACTTATCAAGCTTCATTTCCATGCTTCTCCGGGCCGAGCCATACCCTATGTCTAGATACGGACAGTGCATGCAGCCTAACAACATAATGGGTATAGAAAATATCTGTGAATTAGCAGCTAGACTGTTATTCTCGGCCGTGGAATGGGCGAGGAACATCCCATTCTTTCCTGACTTACAAGTAACAGACCAAGTCTGTCTTTTGAGACTTAGTTGGAGCGAACTCTTTGTGTTAAATGCAGCCCAGTGCAGCATGCCCCTCCACGTAGCCCCTCTTTTAGCAGCCGCCGGGCTACATGCGTCACCAATGGCAGCAGATAGGGTGGTCGCCTTTATGGACCATATTCGTATTTTCCAAGAGCAAGTCGAAAAATTAAAAGCCCTTCACGTGGACTCAGCCGAATACAGCTGTCTAAAAGCCATTGTTCTATTTAGTTCTGGTAAGTATACTTTTTGTGATTGAAATTTTACTTGTTTAAATTGATATTCAATGGATAACCAATTTAAATCTATCGTTTTGGTACATGGTTCATTTTAAACTGTTTGTAAATTGTTTTGTTTGATCGTTCCCGAATTTTTTAATGATAAAATAATTAATTTTTTTCACCATTGTAATTAAAACCTCTATCGCTGTTGACAATAGGTTGTCGATGATATAATTACTATTTTTCAATAAGTACCCTCGATAAAATCACATCGGTTGTGAGGCGAGGCACAAATAAAACTGAAAAACATGTGAGCATAAGTGCCAAATGGAAATATTCATATGATATTTGTAACATGAAAGAAAGGCGCGTTTCATGCTATGCTATAAAGTGGTACCATGAATGAATTTGTTAGCATGCATCTTCCAATAATTATGAATGTAAGCTAAATTTTCTATGTCATTGTTAAGCTGTGGATAATAACAGAGTCCTATATTTGATTTATCACTTTTCATAGTTACTACATCGATCAATTAACAAACACTAATTACTAGTACTACAAAAAAAATTCTATAGAATGATGGAATATGAACAGGGTCATATTTTTATTTTCATTGGTTCATTGGTTAACATTGCACTATTATTACCCATTGACCATAATCCTTAAAATAGAGTGTCTTTTGATCGGAAATATTGAATTAATTAACCAAAACTTGTTTAAACAAGTAGAGCCAAATTGATAATCGTCCGGAAAGTCTCGTTGACAATAGAACCGACATCTACCTCTTTGAAAAAGCCGCACATCTCGAACTTTTTTGTTGTTAAAAGTTTTATCTTGCAAAATTGTAAAACTACACAGGTTAATGACATAAGTTTTATTATCCGCGATCAGGTAAATTAAGAACTCATATTAACTTGTTACACCTATATTATTATGCCAATTGAACTTTGATTTTGGTTTTTATTTCCGTGACCTGTAATGAAATAACAAAAGCCTAAACACAACCCTAGATTAATTCTTTTATATATACATTGACATTACATGAAAAATTCACGTTCATTGTTTTTTATCAATCGTTAGCGTGATGTTAGGTGGCTGTAAAGAGCGCATAATCTACTTAAATATGCAACTGTACTTCTAACTATTGTTTTAGGGAACCATATAAAATGAGAATGAGAAAACATGATCATTTGCACGCAATGTGATTTTTTAGTCTTTTCCGAACATAGTTATTGTGGTCTATATCGGGGTTAATATGAGGTATCCGTGGTCTGTCGTTGTTCTTGAAAATACCATTTCTTTGGGAGTTCAATTAGCTGCAAACCAATCACAAATTTAAACTAATTAATAATGCCTATCATTTTGTTTCGCTTTGACAGCATCGTCCTTAATTCTGTTTTTTCAACAGATGTTATCAGATTTATATCTTATATCACGAATTTTTTAATATTCTTGAATAACAGAATTAAGACATTTGCAATTATTTTAGGAATACTACTTTAATATCATTGTATTTTAAAATAAAAATCGGCGCTTTCTTGAGATCTTATTAAGCAGTAAAGATTTTAATTCACAAGTGTCTTATTTGTAGTATTTGATGATACATTGGTTTTCATTTACCTTGTGGTTAAAAAAAGTAAGATATTTTTGAAGAACAAATGTCTATTGTTTTTTTTATTTAAATTGAAACAATTCACTAGATCAAAATGTATATTTTACAATCCAAAATGTACACTGATTTATTGAACATTGGATGTTGTTCATACATTAGTCTCTTAAATTTGAAAAACAGTTTTATTAAAAAAAGAACTACAATTTTGTTTTGAAATAAAGAAATGCTCCATCAGTGATATACACTCAACCTACCAATACATATTAAGGCCGATGTCGCGAATTTTAACATTGTATCTAAGAGTGCCATTCATTACTCTCGCAGTTGATCGCATTAATCTATACTATCAACTCATTCCCTCCTCCCATCGATGAAGTAATTAATAATGACGCATGGGGATTTATTTCATTCATTCAAACATAAGGCGATCGCAAAATGTGTCGATTCTTCTACTTATCTGGAATGATACAGTTAAAGTGTGTTATAATGGAAATATACTGTAATGTTACACAATCTTACCAAATGTCAACTTAAAATACATGAATGAAAAATATTGCTGAAATCATAAGTTATAATTCAATATGTTATCACTTATTGGAGAGGTTTGATATGACAACGTTATTTTGAATGTGTAGTTGTAGTAATTCACTGCCTTATGTTAGATGTTTTAATGGCCTATCCGGGAGGTTGGAACAGGATGGAATTTATACTATTTTATTGTCATTGTCGTACATACAAAAAGTTAAATGATAAATATGCTATGATAGGATGACATTAGTGTAAGAATAACATGAAATGATAAACCAAAATAATAAATGATATTTTAGTTTCGTTTGAAAATTTGGCTGCCGAGTTCCGTAAAATGAACAGTAAAACAACATGAGCGAGCGATCTTGTAGTTTGAAAAAACTAGTATTTGCACTTTTAAAACGTGTCACCATTAAACACATCGAGGCTATGAGTAAATGAAATTTTCAAAACACACCTTAAGAATCCTGTTTGTGATCTTTTCAACTCACTAACATGGAATTGCATTAACTGTTATTCTGATGGTCAATCTGCAATTCAATCAGGGACCTTATTGCATTCGCTAAGCCCAAATAATTGTAATGAGGAGTTTCGGAGGACACGGACAGAATACTATGATTGTATATTTGAATATAGACCGTCTCACATTGCCCTGAACTAGGCAAACAAAGCAAGATAGCACGTATACATATGGTATACAAATACGAAGATCATATTTGGGAAGTTTCAGGGCTTCAGAAAGCGGATTGCCCAATAGATAAAGGGGAATTAATTCGTAAAACATATCAAATACACTCGAAACCAAATGAACCATATTAACCATTCAATTAAAATCTGTTTAAAGTACAATAAGCCATCAAATGACATCTTGATACGGAATATCAGAGAGCATAACACAAGGGATAACACCAAAGCGGATTTTATGAGTGGTATTCAAACACCTCAAAATATGAATATGTTTAATTTATGAAGGCCATTCCATTTATCAATTGACAACAATTGACATTTCCATCAATATAGCTATCCCCCAAAACAGATCATCCAAATGAGGATTCTCAACAGAAGCAATAGATATTTCAATGTTTCACAAAACCCACTACCAACTAATATACATGCCGTTCGAGATCTAAATCAAATACCGACAATAGTGCATTAAAACATACTACAAAAGGTACCACGAGCTGTATTTGTGGCATCAAAAAATAAGCAAGAAGAAAAATGAGATCGTTTATGAATGGTTCCATACTGGCTGAGTCCATCATGTAATGCTTGGTAAAATACATCTGCGCTTTGGTATCAACTTACACCATCAAGACCTACAGTATGATATATGTTGAAATCTGCAACATATTTTGGACTGAGATAATTTCTCTGCCCCAGTATGTATTTCCTGTGAAGTCAAAACACTAATATCATTTTTGATCCCCAGTCTTTCAAAACGATGTGATATCATCACCCTTGTCATTTATGATTGTGAATTTTTCACTTTCTCTCACATTAGTGTATTGCTGATACTGGGATCACAGTGGCGTTCGCAGGTCCAAACTGCTCTACATTTGACCTACAATGCAACTATATTCGTCCATGGTTTGACATGATACGTTTAAAGATCAACAGTGCAACAATTACAGATGACTCTGATGTCATAGAGTTGACAGGTGTCAGATAGTTGAGTGAATTACTGTGAGGTCGGTTCCTCAGAAAATGTAAATGTCCGCTATGTGTATGAAATAGTAGTCTATATGGTGAGGAGGTCTCCGTGACGACACAAAAGGCTACGAAGTTGATCACCTTTGTATGTCACGTGACTTGTAAGATGTTTGATGTGTCTTGATCTTTTTGACTTAAAGTGAAGTTGACAGTTTTGATCGTTTGAGGGATAGTGATCTTCTGACTTATAGGAAAAAGACATATCTCGTTTGCTTATTTCTTGACAATTATGCCTATGAGTATGTGGTTCAAAAGTTAATTAATTAGAATGTCCAAAACTGGACATGATAATTAATAAGTAAACTCTCCGATTACCATAATGAGTATCTTATACTTTAGCACCCTCGTGGCAAAACCTTTGAATAACGTGTAACCAAAACTTAAAAATGATCTTTGCAACATACATGTGAACTTAATTTTCTGTTCTTGTATTGTTTGTAGGCTAATAGGATGCCGTTTATCATTTATATTTTGAAATGTGAACATAAACACCTGTATTTCAAATTAAATATTGCTATGTTAGGCAAAGTGTAGGTGGTGACACGATATAAAGATTTTAAACTATATCCACACAATATTACTTCCTGTCATGAAAAGTACAGCACATTTATATAGTTCTATTTATAGGAATTTTATTTAACTGTAACATTTTACTCTAAAGAGCACTTGTATAATCATTATATTTTGTATTGATTTGCTCTCTTTACATAATATATATCCTAAATAAGCATGCAATATTGTTTCTGATACCAGGGCGCAAGCATAATAAGCAAACGTTTCTACTATTCCACAAGCAATACCAGTCAGTGGACATCATGAAAGACGACAAAATGCTTAGTCTGTCATAATGCACATTGAGCAATATATGAAAAACAGAAACAAGCATAAAATGCCCAATAAGACGATTCAAAATCAGATCTTTGTTTTAAAGCAATTGTAATGATGTTGAGAAATCTTTCAGAATATGGATTATTCTTATGTTACCAAGTAGTCTTGGAGGGGAGATTTGACTGTCATATATAACACATGTACCCATAAAACAAGATCTCTAAAGGCGCATCGTGTGCAATATGAGGGCTGCCTTCGAAAGATAAGGCTTTGGCAATATCATTCAAAAACACCAGAATATCATATATAAATCCCTTGGTCCAATTTCACTACTTTCTGGATATATACAAAGGGTTTGTGACAACACTACAATTTATTCAATTCATAAGGCAAGATTTTATGTCGTTTGCTGACATGGGAAATATAATATGCTCAGAATAATTGACATTAAGGTTGTGTATAAGATGCATTAGTTCGTTTTACTAGATATTGATATTGCATCTTTGGCTTTGTGGGTCTCAGAAGACCTTATATTTCATGTTTTAACCCATCCTTGTGTCGTACTAGCAATCTACTATTGACTTTCGCCTTTTAGAATCAACTTGTCTCAATTCTCATCTGCGTGATGATGCCATTTTTTAATATGCATTTGTTATTTTTGTCCTTTGTCTTTGCTACCCTTAACACTACTCTTCAAAAAGGATGCATTCCCTTTATGTAATGCTATGTCTATCGTTTCATAATGTTCACGCTTTGTGTTGGGCCTTGTTAAAGGTTAACACAACATTTCACAATCTATATCCAAGGTTCAACCTCAAAACACTAGGTACCCTTACACCTATATACATTTCTTTGGAACATACACTAGTTAATGTATCTTAATTAGAAACAACCTGCTTGGTTTTTACCGCATTACACTTGGTTGTGTTTTGAACAGTATTCCCGGTATCATCTTTGCGTATTTATTATTTTAAAACCTGTGAATGCGCTGTGATAGTAAGGGTTTATTCAGAGAGAAGTTATGTCAGACTATGAATGGAAATTTGGCAGCTTGTAGCAGTAAGTGGAGATCACTTCTGGGTAACATCTAGGAACAGGTCTGATAACACCTTTAGAAAATCACTTGCAGACAAAACTACAGATTAAAACAGGCATATCTTAACGCGTTGCAAATATTTCTCCAACACGAGCGGGCACCACACGAATTTAACAAAGACGAGTGAATTCACTCATTTACAACCTTCCTTACCCTTAGAGCTAATAAAAACAATAATAAAACATATTTACTATCATATTACTAACCCCTCCATGACATATTAAATAGTGACTTTGAAGTTATCATCAATCCATCCCCGATTCAAATATTCCATCATTTGCTTTATAGAAGAACGCCATAACACTGCCGAATGTGAAATGACAGTCGGTTATATCAACATCTTTTCAGTTATAAGTATTTTGTAAGTCATATTCCTATGAATGCAGCAATACAGAGGCATTCAATTCAACTATTTTTATAGACTATTTTCTGTATGAACGAAACCATTGTGTTTTGATACAATACCTTCAAAAACGGAAGCGATTCAAGGTCTGAATCCTTTCAGATTCCAGTGTTCTATGTCCGAATATTTTATCAAACCAGAAGACTCGAATCTTTTCCAAACTCACCGCTAGATGGGGTACTGGTGTAGAGACATGAAAATTGCCAGACTGAGTCAAGTAGGAAATCCCTGATTGTCATAATTGTAAATCTGCAATAGCTCATTAGTCGAAATATTAATGAGGGCATCACACAGTAAGAAATCTTTGGTTTGAGGGAGTCGAATCCGTTAAATATAACACATTTATTATCATTCAGAAAATTGTGAAAATATTAAATTGAACTAATGACTTTTGTGAAGTATATAATCTAATTTTTGCAAGTTAACCGGTAATGTTACAAATTCATACTTGTACGCAAGGGGTTGCGGTCGGGAATGTGGCACATCTAGTTGCTATATACAGTTATGCGATCATTAGCCGTAACCCTGGGGTGCTACCACAAAATTGCTGCTTAAAAAGTGAAAGTAAAATGATGGATGATCACGTCGGCATAATTTATTCCTGTTCTTACCAAGCGTGAGAAAGTGTTAAATTCGGTAGAAGATTGTGAATACACCTTGTATTTCAGTTTAAAAATGATTTTTTCGAATGCTTGTGTATAAAACATAAACGTCACTCTGTGTACTGTTCATATAAAAATTTAGATTGGCTATTCATTGATGATGATGATAAAATAAAATTTCTTATGTATAAATTCTTCATGAAGTAGTTTATAATTTCAAATTAACATCGACTAATATATTGTTAAAATTGACGATATTCTGACATTTAAAATATATGTTATTTTTAGACTTAGGACGTGGTACGGATGCATCTAGAATTACAAACAATATGAGTAGCATGAACCAGATACAGGCAATGTACCATCAACCGCAACCTAAACGTAAGTCAAACGCAAACCAAAGCATGCCACTTGAAAGGAATGATCCATTGTCACATACACAATGCACTGTGTAACATTTTTAAGTATCACAGTCAAGTATCTACTGATAGGTTAACCGTTGCAAACCCATCGCCATTGTGTATCTGACAAGATACTGGATCAGGACCTTATGGCCATATACACTTACCCGTTGTAGCCTGTGGTCGGGGCTCGGTAGGCTGGTGCATGGTTAGTGTATCGGGCCTGTTTTGCGGGAGAATGCTTAGGGTTGCGTCGGTTCATTTTTTAGCCCTGTCCAGCCATCCAGATTGAACAACAGAGCAACATTATATTTTGCAACAAGTAAAATCATCGCTGGGATTTTGTGGTTTCTTTAACATTTTGATCAATGGCATAATTTAGATGTACATGATGCACAAAGCATGAATGTTCCGGACTATTATCTTAAATGTTTGTGTTATTTTTATAGTGAGCATTTTATAAAGCCTTCGTCTGGTTTTGTCGGTTTTACATGTTATTGTTTTATTTTATTTTTCATTACCCGAAAAATATTAACATAAAAATAGCACTAGTGTGTATAGCACAAAGGTACACAAAACCGCAAAAACAAGCGATGGTTTTACAATTTGCAAAATACGATCATGTCTTTGTGTAAAGTGTCTGGAATAACGGTTTTTGTCTTGTGTTTGCAGATGCATGCGGGTTGTCAGACCAGAACCATATTGAAAGCCTGCAAGAAAAATCACAGTGTGCTCTGGAAGAGTACGTGCGCAGCCAATATCCAAACCAGCCAACTAGGTTTGGCAAACTCTTGCTTCGGCTTCCATCATTAAGAACTGTCTCTGCCCAAGTTATTGAACAATTATTTTTCGTTCGTCTAGTTGGGAAAACCCCGATAGAGACCCTGATCCGGGACATGCTTCTCAGCGGGGGTTCATTCAACTGGCCATACATGTCCATACAATGACAATGAACTTCGACCACAGGATTTAATCAACCATTCTGTTGTAATGTCTGGAACAATGTGAAACGCTGGCTTTTTTTAAAGAAGTATTTTCCATCATCAAAGGCATGGTTCATATTGTTCTTGGTAGTATGACTGTATTATTATACGAGGAATGGATGACCTGTTGGTCGAATAGAATTAAACCCGCGTGGTGATCTAGCACTAGTCTTTCTAATGGTAAATTATATGAGAAATTATTCAAAATTATAATAATATATCTAAGTTAAAAGGGCACATGAATTTATGGCATTTATGTGTTTCCATGGAGAGCCATGAGTTGCCAAACTAAGGAATGATGTTGTCATGGAAAACAATTATGTCATATTATCAAGATTAAGATAATCTTTGTTATCACTCAATGCGTAGTCTCAAAAATAATATTCCATTACCCGGTTTTTGTCATGGATGTACAATGTGGTAATAAACGTTGGTATTTATGCAGGTAGTTCAACGTACATTATAGTTAAGTATTCTACTCAGATCTAATTAGGATGTACAGGCATTGCTGATGCATTTTATTGTAATTATTATAAAGATGTATGTATAGACGGTAAAAAGTATATTGATGTATGTATATATATTATTCTAAGGCTCAAAGCCTTGTAAAATATCAATTTTGTATAAAGATCTTTTTATTTTTATTTTTTAGTTAAACGGTTATCAGAGTATGTATTAGGACTTAAAAGTCGCCATTTTGGGTATATGCCATACTTATGTACATAGATGATAAAGTATTCACTATAAATTGAACACTAAGTGTCAAGACAGTGTCAACACGGTATTATTATTGTTGCCTCCTATAACCTACTGTAGAAATGTGCCATATTTCTTAGAAATAACAAGTTCCTATATTCATTGTCACGTTGTATTTTGAAGTCGCGATGGAGATGTAAAACGAGTTGATGGTGTACTGAAAGACTATGTCACTGGTGATAGACGTTACACGAGGCTGCACAATATTTTAACAGCTATAACAGTGACATGTTCAGATCAGTTACATATCAACATCGAATACTGTTATACTTAAGTATTTTATTTGTCAAATATAATAGAACATTATTGTCTTCTTTAATCCCATGCGCCGTAGAAATGGTGCTTCCATATGCTCGCTTATATTATGCACATTCTCCAATTTTGTAGTTATGGAAATGTAGCTTTCTTGGTATCACTGACTGGGATAAATATTGCACTAAAATCAGGACCACACTCATAAAATCTCCTTATAATGTTGTAACCTATGATGAAAAGGAAAACAATGACTAGAACCATGATATTTGAACCCAGAATTTCGGATGCAATATGTTATGACAAAACATATAACCTAGCTATTCCAATAGAGCATAACATTACTGATAAGTGTGATTATTGTACTAGAACCTGATCAACTTTAGACGTTGAGATATTATGCGTTTTCAGTTTTGCTGTAAAACATGCAGGCTGCTTCATATCTGTAAGGTGTCCAAGACACATGGAATCGGCTTCAGTAAATGATCTCGTAAATACATCTTGTGTGTTTTGTTATTTCTTGATTTTTACATTGGCGAACGTATTACCATTTCATACATTTTTGAGTATACATGCTCTTTAAAGAACATATGCACCTTAAAGTGCATATTCTCTGACCCTCAATGACGCACGTGAAATAAGTCAGAAATATCCACTGCATCCATCATATGAATGTCAGTTCCATAAAAGGGGCAAACGATGCCGAGTTTCTGCAGTCAGGTTTTTATTCCAACACTAATATTGAGCACACTGGCAACTCCAACTGTATGCAAGTTACGTTAACCTTTTAAAGCCATGACCTAAGGTTATAACGTGTTAAAACCATCCATATCTCAAAAAAATTTCATATTTCAAAATCGTCTTACAAAAACATAATAGATTGTAATGAGATCAAAACGACCTCTATGTGATTAATGATGTCGAGGAGGTTAAAACGGGGCCTGCTGGAAAACTGTCTGTTAATTATGTATACACAATATTTAGTCACCGTGACTCACAACAAAAAAGGTTACAAGAACGATATCCGCCATTATTTAGTATGTATATGTTGTGCTGATTCGATATACAGAGTATGTTTGTAATGATACATTACGTAAGAATTGCCTTTCTTTTGGGAAGACAATAATCATACACCATACACATCTGTGAGTCATATGAGAGTTGTTGGTCCTTTAGACATGTTAGACGCCATATTTAGCGTTCTTACATGAAACCTACATGACGTATGTATATTGTTGAGACATTTCGGTCGAAGTGACACTGCTCTTTCCCCCACGTAGCCCCAACTTTTAACTTTATCACCTTATGGCACAGACATATGAACTGAATGGTTCAACAATCGTTCATAAATTCATAAGATACGCCAACCTTTGTTGAACACAAACATAGTGGTGACATTGAACACAAACACCTTTTTAAGAAGTCCAAAGGGCTTTTTAGGTTAAAACGTTTTGTTAAGCTAACGAATATACATACCAAGTTAGAAAGTGTGCATACTATTTGAAAAGTATACCATTAACATTGATATGTCATTGACTTATCAAATAGTACAGTTGAAATTACAAATATATTCCAGGAATCCTCTATAAAAGCAAATGGATCCAACACATCTCAAAGTTATTCAACTCGTCCGATCCCTCACAATCCATATAGAGTATATTTGTGGACTGTAATTAATAAATCTGATTATCGAGAAGATAATGGGCAACACTTAACATAGTTATAAACACTTCACTCCAAAACAATGTGACTAATACCATTATATTCAGTCAAGTTTTATTTGGATCTGCATAAAGAACATTTTTGGTTTCTATTTCGTGGAATGATAGCTTTTTACAGTGGAAACTGGAAAAGACAGTGGAATATCTTGCCAAACTTTAAATTCAATAATTTTCTGTTTTGTGGATTTCTGTTAATAATATTATTAAGATAAATCAAAACATGACCACTTTTTCTGTTTTATATGTATCATGAGAGAATCCATCCATATAAGTGTACATGTACAATTGTACATAATGGAAAAATAATAACAACGTATAATTTACATAATGGAAAAATAAAATCAACGTATTGGCGGTTTGCATTTCTTTATTTGAAAAATCAAATCATAACTAATTCGAGTTGTATTCAATATTTATGAAATATTTACTTGCTGCGCGTCTGTGATGTTAAATGTGTTTTCTGTAAAAGATGAAATAGTTTCAATGCGTTAATGTTCTTGATTAGATTAACATATTGTTATGTCGCATTTGTTTTTCTGCTATTGCCCCCTGTGTGTTTTATTCTCACACCTAAAGTTCATTTATGAGGTTCTTCTTATCGCATGAAAGTATTAACTTTTGTGTAAGGCCAGTTAGATATCCATCCAGGTTACGTCTGGAAAGTGTCCCTTTAATTTGTATGTCTCGACATTTCGAGATTTCATTTGATTTATCAGGCACTATATACAAGACCCAGGTTGTTAAAAACACGAATCAATTTACTGTTTTTCAACACTATGACCTCCTGTATACTGATAGAGAATGATTTAGAACTGTGAAAAAATATACTGGAGGTATGTTACTACACAACGCTTGAGCACCTAAATAAATATCAAATCAGACAGAAGATGAAACAAAAAACGTTTGTCTCGAACACTGATCATATAATACTTTTCTTTATGTTGATTTCAAAGTATCCGTGTATTTACAGATGTTTCCATGTGTGGTCAGATTATAACTATACTTTATTATTTTTTATAAAATAAAACGAAAATACATTTATGTTAAAATATCTCCAGCAAGTTAATATAATGCACAAGTGCTTATTTCATTCCAGAACATTTATTTTTCTCTTTGTTCAACTGGTTCATTTTCTTGCAAGATTTAATGTCAAAATGTCAATAAATAAGATCTAAGAGCATCCATAAAGAGTAGTTGTATTCATATTTATTTTGATTTGTGACAATTATATTCGCATAAAAAAGAACTAGTCAATAAGTACAAGTGTTTGTCGATATAGTTGCTCTTCTAGTTGTTTTTGATGAGCTCAATCGACCAGAGCGTTAATATTCCTTTCCGTTTATCAAATTAATGCAAGGTGTCTTGGATAAGATAACAACATTACTGCTGGACTTTTACATACAATTTTAAACAACAAAGCAATATGTACTGCTTTAAAAGGATCACAAATTAGATAAAGCGGTGTAAATCAAACTCATTTTCTAAACCTAGACGTTTTCATTGCTGTGTGACTTGACAATGTGTTTCTATTGTTAACAAAATACATTTATTACAGCATATCATTATTGTCTCCATAACACGTGAAGTTAGCCATGCGCGACCGAATGATGCAAGTCATTAGATAATTAAGACTCGAATTTTATTTCAATGTATTGGGAAGAAAGACATACCGCATATTAAATACTCAAGACTAGTATATGTGTCTATTGAAGAGGTAACAAAAGAGACAGTTGAGGGTAATTTTAGTTTTGGCAAACATCATTTTACCCTACCTATTTTATATAAATCCAACAAGTTCTGACTTTATTTAATGAAGACACGTCAATTTTTAAGATCAGCAAAAAATTAAAACGTGACAATTCCTTTTTTCAATTCTTAGATGAATTTTGCCATTTTCTGCGTACTTAATCTTCAATTAGTTCCATAGTTCAACAGGCATCTTAGCTATTTTCAAAAATTAAGGGGGTTCGAAGGAAAAACTTTCATATTTATTGAAACGACATTCTTGCAGCAAGGCTATATAGTATGTATATATTTAAGCAAAAGTGAAATCCTTTGAAGAAGGATGTTGAAACGATGGCGCCCACCATTTCCACTCACAATTCTCTGCTGCCACTAATTTCAGAAGTTTTTTACAAATTAAGTTACATATTTCAATTTTTATTTTATTTGGTGATCATATTAATCGTTTAAGAGAAATCGTCGACGCAAATTAATAATTAGACTTCCAAATTA